CACCCTATGAGTCTCCTTACCTTTACCCCTCCAATTCTCTCCCCTGTTCCCTGGGGTGGGTGAATGAGCTGCACCTGCAGCAGGTCTGTCAGCTGCAGCTTGAGTCTCTGCTCTGGCTGGTTTGGCTGATGCCCAGTTTGATGGGGATTGGGGGTTATTGGTATTTTGGGGAAGGTGAAAGTGATGTTTGGAATTTGTAAAAGAGGGAGGTGGGCAAGAACAGCTCCTTGGATGGAGGCTGAATGCTGGGGCTGTGCTCCCTGCCCACCACCCAGGACCTTATAAAGCTGGTGTGGAAACCTGGGCTTCTGCTCTGAGCATGGCCTCGGGGGCTGTATATGTTAAAAGCCATGTTAAAAGCCATGTTAAAAGCCATGTTAAAAGCCATGTTAAAAGCCATGTTAAAAGCCATGTTGTGGGGTAACATCTCCCACTTCAGAGGCAGGAGGAGAGTGACTAAGGTTCTTCAAATCCCCTCAAGATAAATCAAGGTTGAAATGACACCAAATAACCAGTTAAATGTTTTATTTATAATGGAAATAATCTGAATTTGGATAATATAAAAACATTGGTAATTTGAGTTCTTACCTTAGTTCCAAGAAGGGTTCACCACTCATGTGGGGTTCATATCTTAGTAACATGAAGGAAAAGAGGAAAAAAGAAAGTTATGAGAAGGAAAAGAGAGATTCCACCAGCTCCAGGTCCAGTGTTGGTCCTGCCAATGGACAGGTGTCCATCTACAGGGTGATTTTGGCAGTTTTTTATGGGCAGCTCATCTCCTCCCCTTGGTTAAGTTTAAACAAGGGCTTTGAGGGCTTTAGACCTAGGCTTATGCCAAGACTTTATTGCCTCTGGGACAATGAAGTCTCACTTTGCTCCCTCTTTCCCAGCTGTTCCTCCCCAAGCGTTTCACAGGGAGGTTCCCACTTGGTGGGGGTTAAAACAGAAAGATGGGGAGTGAGCATGAACACTTTAAAAAAAGTCCTGTCATATGTAGTTCTCCTGGGTTTGGAAGAAGCAATTAAGCCAATTAATTTATTGGTAAATTATCTTATGATGAAGTACAAAATAACTGCGCTGAAAGGCTGACATTCACATTAATACCAAATTAGTTCCTGTATTATGACTGTTCTTACAATGAATGCCCAGTAATTTAATAATAATAATGGGACATTTAAATAATTTAGCTGATAATTCTCTAGATCACTTCCATATATAAATGAGCACGACAGCTTCTTCCTCAACTTTGGTGCTGCTGGATTTACCTCCCACCACCACCACCACAGCAGGAGGCAAAGCAGCCTGGTGCCCCTCTGTCATCTCCCAAAACTCACCTCTTGCTGGAAATGAAGTAGGGGATGGGGTGTAGCAAAGGGGGTTTTCCTCCCCCCATCAGATTTTTGTGGTTGGAAATCAAAGCTCAATTGTCTTGTGGTTGGCTTTAGCAAAGCCACATTTTAAATTTGGTGGAAGATCTGTGGGGAGTGGTGTTCTCTCCAGGCCTGGTAGAGCATCTCTAGTGATGTTCTTTGTGAGAACATGATTTATCCACGCAGTGAGATGGGTGCTGGAGATCCAGCCAGAGCCACTTAATTGAATAGTTCAGCCACTGACACCAAAATTACCATGTGTTGGCTCCGCTTGATGCAACAGCTTCATTTTCAAGTAGCTGCACTTCCTGTAATAATTATTATAAGCAGAATTAAAATTGCTCCTTGTTCTTCCATCCCTGGCCCTCCAAGAGGACTTTAAAGGAGGGCGAGGGCTTGGCAGCTACACAGGGCAGTTTATCTGCTTTATTGCCCCTTCATCACCCCCTGCACCCATGGAGATGTTTGTAGATGCACCAGCTGTGAACTGGAGATCCTCATAGGAGAGAAAGAAAATAAGAATAAACAAGAAATGCAGTTTACAGTTAAAGCAGCTGCTATTGCAACTACACCTAAAGGAGAAATTATTTTTTTCCCCCATAAACTGGTGAATACTGGAGGAAAATGGCAGACCTCTGCTCTGCCAAGCAGAGCTGGGATGGTGAGATGTTCCTGAGTCTGTTCTGCACGTGCCCTGGAGATGGATGGTGCCAGTCAGCGTGTTGCTCTGCTATTGAGATTGCACTGAACCTGCTGAAATATTAGTTAATGGGCTCACCTAAATGTCCTCTTTTCATCACATCCCCTTGTGCTGTCAGACCTGTTGTGGAGAGGAGTATTCCACTGTCTGCAAGATTGAGGACAGAGTTACCCAAATGAGTTTGCTTGCAGATGAGAGCAGCGATAAGGCTTTTAACACAAACCCTGTCACTTCTTGGGAGACTCTGTCTCTTACTGAAGATGAAGACTACTTTTTGGGGTTGTTTTCTTGGTTTTTTTATATTTAATTTGGATGTCTTGCCAAATTTGTGAAGCCAGCAGCCTGCTGCAAGCAAAAGCCTCTGCAAAGAAAGAAAAGGAAAGCCAAAGTTTGTAGCTGCTCTGTTGCAATTGATTAAATCCAGGACCTGGCAGCTCATACTCATTGAGTCCCTTGTGTAGGTCATGATGAGGTTCCAGCAGCTGGATCACTGCTGGGTTGGCTGGGGAAGGACTTGTGTACACAAGGCATGTCCTGAGGTTTTGCACAGAGGAGATCTAAGCAAACATTTTCCTCTCTTGTCTTTTGGATCACTTGGCAGTGCTGGAGATGAGCCCCAAAGCCAAGAAGGCTGAAATCCAAGGGTTCCTGGTTACTGGGCAGCTGGAAGGAGCCAAAGAGGACCACAAAAAACCTGATTTGGGGGGTGATAGTGTGGCATCTGCTTCTTCCCTTGGGAAGAAAATTCACTTTATTAACCAGAGCCATCCAGTTCCCTCTGCTCAGTGATACGATTACCGGAATATTGTTTTCTGTGCAGTTTTCTAAGCAACAATCTTGTTGTTTTCTAAGCAAAAGTCTTAGTTGCTTGTAGGAATCTTTCTGGGCTTTTGTTCAGATTTTGCCATTTCTAGGAGCATCTTCTCCCAGTGAGTTGCTTCTTCTAAGCAGGAGAGGTTCAACACCATCCCCTTCCCAGCAAGCTTTGTTAGAGTACTTTCTCAAGCAGCTTTTTGGGTGGGTTTTTGCCTTTCTGCAGAGTTTGTCCTACAACATGTTGTGTACTGACCAGCTGGGTAAGAGGATGTTTTCTACAAGTCACTTGCCACCATGTTTTTGATGAAATAACCCTGTTCTAGTAGGAGATGAAAGGGGAGTGAGGGATTGAGATGGTACAAAGATGCAGAAATGTTGAAAAAGTGATTCTTCCCTTGTATGTAGAAGACATCTAAGATCTTAATAAGAGGTGAGGAGTGCTATACTTGGAGTGAAATAGCAGAGGGTGTGTGCTGTCCTCAGCCTGCTCTCCTGCAAAGGCAGGTTGGTCTGGTCCATGCTGGAGGACCTTGTACCTCCCAGCCTGTCTGTGGTGAAGGTTGAGAGTTCCTTCAGCTCCCTGGGGATGGTGGGCTTCATGTTTCTATTTTAAAAGGTATTGCAAGCTCCTTCTTGTCAAGTCAATATAGGTATGGTGTAGTTAGAGGTGACAGCAGGTGTTTGTGGCTCTTACCTGTAGAAGACCTTGGTGAATGAGATCCTGTACGTGACATCAAGGCAGCATTAGGTCCTTCAGATGTCCCAAAGCTTTAGGGTGTTCTAACCACTCTTTATAAATACTTTACCCCCAAATTGCTGATTTGTGAGCAAAGTTGCCTATTAACTGAAATGCTATCAAATGCTGTCATGGACTACTTGGGCCATTGTGTTTCTGAGAAGCTTTACCCTCTGCACTTGCTACTTGTGACATTTCAATATCGGGTTGAAAGCACTCTCTCAAGTAGGAGATGCTACACTAAAGAACAAAACCCCAAAATCTCTGCCTCCAAGAGCCTTGGGTCCTTCTGTGCAGAAGACATTCCCACCACAGAACTTCACATTTTGCTGCTCAAGCACCTAGAAAGAGCCACTGTGATCCCACAGGCTACATCTGTACATGGCTTCCTGCATGGGGTATGAACATGATGGGGCAGACCTTCCCCAGGGGGCTGCTTGAACTGAGCTTGCAGGACTAGATTTAGGAGAAGCTGAAGCAGGTCTAGATGGATTTGGTTTAGCACAGCATAAAGCAACCTCTGAGAAAGCTCAGCAGGCCTATTTCAGAATGCCAGGAGAGCTGCTGTGCTGCTACAGATGGTTTTTTTTTAAGCAATAGGTCTATTGTCACTTGTGCAAACAAGGTAATTTGGGCATCATCTTCTATTGCAAAACAGATTCTCAGGGCATCCACCAAAACAAAGGCCAGCCAACTGCTTTGCTTTTGCTTTTCTTCTTATTGATGTTTTCTGCTAACACCCACATACATGAATTTGTCCATGATGAGGCAGCCAAAGGTGAAACAGCGCTGGTCCTCATGCAGCTAGGTAAATATTCAGCTTGTGGTAGATTGCATTAAGTGTCTTCTAATCCATCCCAATTAAAAAGCAGTCTTTATAGCTGTTAATAGTTTTATTGAGAACTGTAACACCTTAGACTTACAGATATATAAAGCAGTTAGTTTTATAAAGCATATAGGATATTAAAGTAATGAAAGACATTAATGTGACATCAATTTTTAAGGAGAGTTACTTGCTGAAATAAATGAGTATAGCCTAAAAGTTGATGGCATGTTACAGTCGTGAGTAATGAACCTCTCTGCCCCCTAAAAACCTTGTAGAATAAATAATGCTTGAGCAAGTCAGTGGTCATTAACTCTTTATCCTCTGAGAGCTATATGTCACATTCATGTCTCACCTGATTTTTAACTTTAAAAAATTCCTTCAGAAAGGAATTATCTTTCCTGGAATAGCTATAATTTGGGCTGTGTTATTCTGATGTGTCTGCTTTCCAAACGTCTTCCCATTTTCAGTGAAGTAGAGCTGCGACTGATCTTGCCAGATGCAAAATTCTCGAGGAAGCTATTTTTTCTTCTTTCCTTTGTTTCCTTCTTTTGGTTTTCCTTTTCCTGCTTTCTCACTGCCTGCCAGTGCTTTGATTCGTGCTTTACCCAGTGGTGTCTTGGCATACCAAGCCTGGAGAATCAAAAAGTATGTGTAGGTTTTATTAAAACTTAAAAAAACCCAACAAACCTTAAAATTTTTACTAGCACAACGGAGCATTCCTTAAAAAAAAAAAATCTTAAAATCCTGGCTGGCTTGTGGAGAAGCAGACATGAAACCCTCAGATCTCTTGAGAACATTTATTATAACAAGAAGTAGAGCAATTGCTTGCTTGAAGTGTGTCTCATTAACAGGAATACTTAGCTGGGCCATTTGTGTTGCTATAGTTATGGAAATGTTAGAACTTCTCTGATCAACCCTATTTCTGAGGTATATAGCTCTTGTCAAAACTCCCTCTGGTCTGAGACTTGGCAACAGACAAAGCGTAGTCTTCTTGTGGCTCTGCAAATGGATCCAGACAGTTTTTATTTCAATGAGAGAGAGCTTAAGAAACAAAACAAACCCCCAACATTAAAAACCTGTTTATGGCTTTCAGATGCCTGTTCACAATCCTTGTGACTTGTAAATGATTTTGGTACAGTTGCTCTGCAAAGCTGCCAAGCTCCTGGACTGTAATGTCAACAAGGCAGTTGTGGGCCATGTGAAAATAATGTAAAATGAAGGAGAAGGTAGTTCTGTAAAGTTAGCAGTCTGCAGGAATTAGTCTTTCCCCATATGCAGGTACAGGAGCCTTTATTTCCTAAGTCCTGCCTACACCAGAGATTAAAATGCCTCTGGGTGTTGACATGATTGATAAAACACCTTCCCTCTTGACCATATTCATCCATGTGCTGCCCCAGGAATGAATGTCTTTCCTCTGACCACAGACTGCTATTTAATGCTACAACTGTGTTTCCTCTGCCCTTCACTTGTGCCCCTGTAGGCTTCAACCTTCCCACCAATGTGGCATCCTATAAAGCCTGCTTTTTCCATATGATCCATCCAAAGTGCTGCCTCCAGTTTGAGCCTGGTAAGGGTACCCCTAGGAATTTGTGTTCTCCAGTTTCCCAGTATGTGTTGGGAGTTTAGAGGGAAGTGGAACCCCTGCTGTTCCTCTCCTGGTCCCAGATGATCCTTCTTGGTGTTACACTTCTTACAGACTTTGACAGGCACCCTATTTGGATCTCTTGTCTTGCAGATGACATATTGTCAGTAGGTCAATGCAGTCTGGCAGCTGCCAAGCTGGCTGCTGAGCAGCCCTTTTACACTCTGAGCTCTGCTCTAATTGCCCAAATTAGGTGAGCTTCCTTCCTCTAAGAACACTGACTCCACTGAGTAAAACATCATGCCAACCTCTCATGCGTCCACATCTAGATGGTGGGATGGGAGATGTTTGGGAGGAACCCCATGGCTTTCAATGCAGTGGCCTGGGCAATTGAATTTTGCTGTCCTAAAGGTGGTCTTGGGCTGAGCTGTTCCTGTGTCAGGGAGAACAGACACAGCTGGGACAGGGAGAGGTCTGGAGATGGTGGTTTCTCGTCCTTCACATGAGTGGGATAAGAAAGACAAGGTGTTGGTTGTGGCTCAAGGAGGAATTGACTTCCCCAGCAGGAGCAATGTCTCTGGCCTTCCACGTGTGATGGGCCATGAGGCTCTAGGGAGTTCTCCAGACCTGGGTATGATGTTCTCCAGATCTTAAGTAAGAAATGAAAAGAGTAACAAACATTTACAAACATTTTAAGCATGCCAATGACTTCCTTGGAGCTTGGTAGGATGGAAAGTGCTTTTTGATGGGTGCAATTTGTCGAGGTCATAATGTTGCTGTTAAAGGACCTTACTGCATGTGGCAAGAGGAGCCGAGTGACTCGTGATGTCTTCTCTTGTTCCTTCCCATTTCTTTGTGCCTGTATCTCAACGCAGTAAATCCCCTGCCTGTATGCATGGGATGCTTTTGACTCTTGAGCTAGTGGAACTGCTGTGTGGGATTAATGGAGCCAGCTCCTCAGATATGGTGAAAATAAAAATAGATTTATTGCTAACACACTGGCATCTGAACTGGGGATGTAAGGTACTGGCAGTAAGTGACTGAGCAGAGTTAAGATGTTTGTTTGTTGGAAGAATGATGTCTGCAGTCTCTGGTATGGGGTTTTCTCACATGTTATTAGTATTTTGTACCAGCTGCTGCCAGGCAGAACTAGTGTGCTAGTTGGGCTGCCCTTTGCTCCTCTCTAAGACCATTATTTCCCTGTGAGGATTTGTATCAATCACCCCGGCGTGATAATTTATAATTTCAAAAAAATATGGATGTATAATTGGTGCAGAGATTTGAGTAAATTGAAGGAAGAAATCACATTATCACAAATTTTGCATTATTTATATTCATTTTGGAACACTGGCAGAATATAAATGTCAAACAGGGAGATTCATGTTTCCAGTGAATAGAAATCAAAGATTCATCACAGGGCTAATCTTCACTTTGAATATTGCGTTTTAGCCGCCCCACTTCAAAAAGGACAAAGGAAAGCAACAGAAAAGGTCCAGCTATGGCAATGATTAGAGACTCAGCAAGAGGAGCTTCTGCATGAGAAGAGATGAAGATACTGGAGTTAATTAATGTATGAGGCCATTTTGACAATCCTCTTCCCCTGTGCCATATTCCAGGTGCTGGGGCAAGGTTTCATGATATTTAAGGAGAAACAAATTTAAAATAGATAAAAGGAAATAGTTTCTTAAGGGCTGTAATTAATGCAAGGCAATTATTGCCATGGGATGCTGGGGAGAGTATCACTTCAGCCGTGTTCAGAATGAAGTGCTGCCTGCATACTCGGTGCTCTGCAAAACAGGCACATTTTAGTAAGTGGAATAACATTTTCAACTTAAACTCACATTAAAAACTAGCTCTCATGTTTTGGGGTACAAATGGATTATTACATGGAGCTGGGAATGATAAAGGGGTTTTTTCTTTGCTGCAACACCAAACCATTAGCCTTTCCCTGAGGAAAGATATTGGTTTAGATAGGAAACATGAGGAAAAAAGAGTAATTTGCCAAATATCACAAATGCTGCTGATGTTGAGTGAGCCAAATGGATCTAAAAGGGAATTGGAATGTATTCAACAGGGCTGGGGGAAATATGCACTATCAAGAGGTCAGCAGTGGAAGAAGACTTGGACAAAGTTGTTAGAAACCACATCCTGTTTGTTGTGTGAGGGATTTGAAACCAGAGGGGATTGAAAGAGCAGAATGAAGAGGAAACCATTTAGCTGGGAGAACTTGGTGGCTTATAAGCATGTCTGGGTAGAAGTTGTGGGGGTATGGGACTGAGATGGTTCTTCTGGGGTCATAGAATCCCAGACTGGTTTGGGTTGGAAGGGACCTTAAAGCTCATCCAGTTCCAACCCCCCTGCCAGCAGTAGGGACACCTTCCACTAGACCAGGTTGCTCAAAGCCTCATCCAACCTGGCCTTCAACACTTCCAGGGAGGAGCAGCCACAGCTTCTCTGGCCAACCTGGGACACTGTCTCACCACCCTCACAACAAACAATTTCTTCCTCACATCTCATCTCCATCTCCCCTCTTCCACTTTCAAGCCATCACCCCTTGTTCTGTCACTCCCTGCTCTTGGCCTAAGTCCCTCCCCAGCCTTCCTGGAGCCCCTTCAGGTACTGGGAGGCCACTAGAAGATCTCCCCGGAGCCTTCTCTTCTCCAGGCTGAACAGCCCCAACTCTCTCAGCCTGTCCTCACAGCAGAGCTGCTCCAGCCCTCGCATCATCCTTGTGGTCTCCTCTGGGCTCGTTCTAACAGGTCCATGGTTGTCTTCTGGTTTCAGTATAGAAATCCTATTCTGTTTGGAGCCCCTGGTGTGGGCTGCCTGTAGCTCTCCTTGGTATGCAGCAGAACTGTCCTGTTCAGTGGCCAAGGCTCTTGCTAGTGTTTAGTAGGCTTAAAGTGCCTCTGTCAAGCATTGTGCTGTTTTTCTGGGGTGTCAGTGCTGTGAATCCCAGAATGGCCTGGATTAGAAAAGCCCTTTAAGATCGAGTCCAACCATGAACCCAACACTGACAAGTCCCCGACTAACCCATGTCCCTCAGCACTATGTCTACACGACTCTTCAATCCCTCCAGGGATGGGGACTCCACCACTGCCCTGGGCAACCCCTTCCAATGCCTCAGAACCCTTTCAGCAAAGAAATTCTTCCTCACATCCCATCTCAACTGCCCTGGCCACAACTGGAGGCCATTTCCTCTTGTCCTTGTGAAGCTGTAGTGCTGCACTCATCTAGCTGGTTCAAGCCCAGTTCAGCTGTCCCTAAGCTACACTGAAGTTGCTGCAGTAAATAAATTGTAGACCTGTACTTAAGCCTGATAAACTGGTCCCATCATTAGGAAAACCAAAAGCAATACAGTGAAAGCAGAGTTAACCACTACATAAAGATAATCCTAGTGTAGGGA